AAAGCTATTAAATATATTTAGAAAAGATTAATTATGAGAACTTAGGATTGACTTACTTCCTTTTCCCTCCTTTGTATAATGGTTAGGTCAAATTAATAACACCAATTAACCTATCAATATAGATGTCACCTACTTAAATCATTCACATTGATTCCTCAAACATGAAATTCAAAAGAAAACCTTGTAAACATAGATTCCTCATACATTTAATAGATTTTCCAACATTAGGTTTAGGGTGTTAAGCTCTCAATACATCCATTACCATTCCTAGCAATCAATGTAGCAAATATTCTTAACCTAATCAAAGGTTTCAAGATATATTTTCCAATATATATGAACATCCAGGATAAAAGCATTAAAAGGCACAAAAGATAAGAATAACAACATCAATAACATAGATTAATATTTCAAAATATCACCAAGATAAAAAAGAGTTCAAAAGAAGTGCACCTAATCCTAAGAAAATGAAGTTAGTCTCTCATGATGGGCATTACAATGATCCAAATGAAGAAGAATTGAAGATTGGACGAAAACTCAAGCAGCTGTCGCGCCTCTCTTCTCAAAACATCTCATTCACCTTTCTCAAAATGCATCTTATCTTTTTATAGAAAAATTTTGCGTCATTCGCTCAAGCGGAACGTTCGCTCAAGTGAAAAATGATGATTTTCGCTCAAGCGAGAATTGTTCGCTTGAGCAGTTGAATTCCCGAGAGCTTTAACGTATTTTCCCGAGAGCTTTAACGTATTTTCACTCAAGCGAATAAATGTTCGCTCAAGCGAGTGACTTCCAAAGAGCTTTAACGTATATTCGCTTAAACGAGCGTTCATCTCGCTTGGGCGAATCTTAGGTTAAAAATCTTCTTCCTTTTTTTTCAATTTTTCTTCAATTATCTTGAAAATTATGATCCTTGCTCTTGTACCAAGGTATTCTGCAAATTCATCCTACATTGTGAGAGAAAAAATATATTAGAATCAACATAATTTAAGTGGTTAAATAACAATTAAAAGCATAATTACATCAACTTTTGTCACTTAACAATTAACAAGTGATCAATGGCAAAAGTTGGTAGACATGTTGAATAAAGGAGCAAATAATGAGAAGATGACAGGTATTTGTAAATCTACACCATGGATTATTGATACAGGAGCTTCGAATCATATGACTGGAAGCATGGAATAAATGCATAATGTGCATGATATTCTGCCATGTCCAGTTGGATTGCCCAATGGAGAACACAAAATGCAACAAAGGAAGGAACTATGTACTTAGGGGGACAGTTGAAACTTACCAATGTTCTTTTTGTCCCGAATTTGAACTACAATCTCTAATTTGTGTCGCAACTTTTAGATGAGCCAAATTGTGTTATACAATTCACTAATAAATTATGTGTATTGCAGGACCTCATTTCAAGGATGGTGATTGGAGTGGGTAAACGTAAAGATGGACTTTATTACATCTGTGGAGCTCAGAGGCTACAAGTTAACAAGGCAGACAATGTGGATCAAATGGAATTGTGGCACAAGCGCTTAGGACATCCATCCTTTAAAGTTACAGAACTCATTTCTGGATTTGGTAAAAATAAGTGTGACAATTGCGATATATGTTTTAGAGCTAAACAATGCAGAGACAAATTTCCTATTAGTGAACAAAGAGCTAGTGATATTTTTGAAATGATACATTGTAATTTGTGGGGTCCTTATAGAACTCCATCTTCATGTGGTGCTTATTATTTTATGACTATCGTGGATGATTTTTCTCGCAGTGTATGGATCTACCTAATTGTCGATAAAAAGGAAGTATCAAAGTCCCTTATTAATTTCTTTACTTTAGTCCAGAGACAATTTAATAAAAGTGTAAAAGTATTTTGAAGTGACAATGGTATCGAGTTTCTTGGCTTGAAAAATTACTTCTTGGATCAAGGAATAATATTTTAAACTTCTTGTGTCCACACACCACAACAAAATGGGAGAGTGGAACGAAAACATAGACATATTTTAAACATTGCACGTGCACTAAGATTTCAAGGCAATCTCCCAATTGCTTTTTGGGGAGAATGTATATTCACAGTTGGTTACTTCAAAAGTGCTGAATGGGAAAACCCCATTTGAAGTACTTTATGGAAAGCCTCCTCTCCAGCATTTGCGGATATTTGGATGCTTATGCTATGAACACAATAAAGGAAGAAAAGGTGACAAATTTGCTGCCAAAAGTAAGAGATGTATTTTTATTGGCTATCCTTATGGGAAAAAAGGGTGGAAAGTGTTCGATTTGGAAACAAGAGATAGTTATTCTCTCGGGATATACACTTCATCAAAAATGAGTTTCCCTTCAATCAACCACATACAGAGGACAAAGATACCGCTCGAAATCTGCCATCTATAACCAATATTTCTCATGAAGATGAAGATGATTTCTATCAGGGCATGACCTTCGAAGTGAGGGGGGACATGATACCACCGACACAACTTCTAAGGTCAATGATGATGTGCCTTTGCTTCATTCTTCCAACAACACAGTGCTAGTGGTTGAGGATAATGTACCCTCATCAACTGAACCTGTCAACACAGACCCTATTGCTCATGATATTGGCGATGATCTGAATGTTGATGTGCCCCGAGCTAGTGACATGCAAACAAACAACTCAAGGGATTTGCTGATTGCAAAAAGTGACCAACTAGGTCGAGGACAGAGACTTAGGCAGCCTTCCTCCCGACTGAGGGACTACGTGACCAACATTATCCATCGAATAAGCCTATCTGCATGTTTGCCTATGCCATCTTCATCCTCAGGTAATCCTTACTGTATTACACAATATGTGGATTGTAGTAACTTCTCCATGGCAGATCGTAGTTTTCTTGTTGCTCTTGAATAGGAAACTGAACCTTTGACATACAAAGAAGTTATGAAAGATGTCAAGTGGCAGAAAGCAATGAAGGATGAAATTTCTACACTAGAGAACAACCAAACTTGGGAGTTAATAGTGCTACCTCCTGACAAAAAGGCTCTTGGATCGAAATGGATTTACAAGATAAAAAGAAAGTCGGATGGGACGGTGGAAAGGTTTAAGGCACAGTTGATCATTATTGGAAATCATCAAGTCGAAGGGATCGACTATATGGAAACGTTTGCACCAGTGGCCAAAATGGTGACTGCCCGTATTGTCTTGGCAGTGGTTGCTGCCAAACAATGGGAATTGCACCAGATGGATGTGCATAATACCTTCTTACATGGTGACTTGCAAGAAGAAGTCTTTATGAAACCACCTCTGAGATTCATTCTTTCTCGACCTGGACTTGTTTGCAAACTACAAAAGTCACTCTACGGACTTAAGCAGGCACCCCATTGCTTGTTCACTAAATTGTGTCAAGCACTCAAAGGTTATGGGTTCGTACAATCCTTTTGTGACTACTCCTTATTTGTCTTGAATAAGTCCAAGATAAATATTGTTGTTCTAGTATATGTGGATGATCTTATTGTGGTTGGAAATGATTATATTGCAATTAAACATTTCAAGGCATATCTACATGCTTGTTTTCATATGAAAGATTTGGGTCCACTCAAATACTTCCTTGGGATTGAAGTTGCCCATTCTAGTTCTAGAATTTATCTCTGCCAAAGAAAATATACCTTAGGCATCATTAGTGAAACCGGTCTTTTAGGTGCCAAACTTGCTGCTACCCCGCTCGAACAAAATCACCACCTTACCCTTGTCGAAGGACCAAATTTACCCCATCCTGGCCACTATCGTCGTCTCATCGGTCGTCTTATTTATTTATGCTTCACGAGACTAGAATTATCCTATTATGTTCATATGCTATCGCAGTTTATGCAGCACCCAAAAGAAGATCATTGGAATGTAGTTCTACGTGTGGTTCGATATTTAAAAGGCAACCCAGGACAAGGAATTCTACTACAACGAGACAACAATCTTCTTCTCAGCATGGTGCGACTTTGACTGGGCTAGTTTCCCTCTCACTCGACGGTCTCTCACAGGTTAGATCATCTTCGTTGGCAATTCTCCAGTATCTTGGATAACCAAGAAACAACACAGTGTCTCGTTCATCAACTGAAGTTGAATATCGGTTCATGGCTTCTACTACGTCAGAACTTAAATGGTTGAAAAGCATCTTACATTGTCTTGGGATAAATCACAAATTGCCTATTCACCTCTACTGCGATAGTCAAGCCGCCTTACACATTGCAAAGAACCCAGTCTTCCACGAATGCACAAAACACATAGAGGTCAATTGTCACTTTGTGCGTGATGCAGTACTTGCAGGTATCATCACGCCATCCTATGTTTCTACTCGGACTCCGATGGCTGACCTACATACAAAGGCCCTTGGAAGAAATCAATTTCATTTCCTAATTGGCAAGTTGGACATTCATAACCTTCATGCACACACTTAAGGGGTATTGGAGGCTGACTAAATATGGAAATATATCAGCACAATATTCACACTGATATGTTGTTGATATATTGTCCATCAAGAATGAGATTTGATTAACAAAATCACAACTAATCAAGGGATTCATTTAGCATGTTTATAAGAACTATATTTGTTAATTCATCTGTAAATAGGATTTTGTTCAGATTTTGTTCCGTAAATATAGTTGCAGTAATATGTATATATGGTTGGTCCATTGTCTAATCACATCATCACACATTCTTCAAGTGATACATTATGTTATAAACCAATTTGCTACTTTCTTTCTCTATTCCTCACTTGCTTAAGTTGGCCTTGCCTCTAGTTACAAAAGTATAGCCTGAGCAGAATCCCTTTTCCATGTCTCATTTGTATTTCATTTATACAAATTCCATGCAGGAGGAACTCAATCCACTTGTATCACCCTTTGTTGCTGAGATGAATCACATTTAATACCAAATACTTTGAAATAATAATGCAACCCTACGTTGTATCAGTACAATTGTTTTGAATAAATATGATTTTTAGACCATTAATATCTCATATTCCCATTATAAAAAATATTATTCTATTTCATCTTGCACAAATTTCAGCCACAATGTAAATAATAACTCGCATCAAAATTACACGCTCATGCTCACTCCATCCTCTAAATCGAGTATCAACATTTTCTGCCAAATATGCAGTATCGAAGTTAATACCAGTCAAAGAACCTGTTGAATCCGTTTGGTGATCCTCTATCCCTGTCCCTAAATTTGGCTAACACAAAATGCAAAAATGAAAACAAAAGACACTATAATCACTATATATAATTGCTGTATTTTTGTATTTTCTCAGTAGACATGAATTAGCAGACTCGTGGATGAATGTTAGCAAGTCTAACAGTGGAAAGAGAATAACCAAAATCAGTCTTTCCATAAGGCACGTTACTTATTATTTGCGTGTTTATAAAGTATATTTCAGTAGTAATATGCAAACATTCCTGATCCAATCTTTCTAGTTTTAAAGGGGTAGTGCAAAGCATCTTGCCAATGAAAGTGTTATAAATTATAATATACAATGCCCAAGTCCATTAAATAATCGATTTATTGAATAGAAAAAAAAACACATAGACGCCCTTTTAAACACACAAACTCATCCAATACCTTTTAAAAAATATTTTTCACTTTTAGTTTTCTTTTTATTAAATAAAATATTTAGTTTTAAATTCATTTCAGTGAGAAAATATTTATTTACTTAAAAGAAAAAAATGAAAGAAGAGAGCACAGAACAATAAAAGTGGACAACGACACAACAGTCCATGGAACCACCGCTCACCGCCATCTCTCGTGTTCTTTAGCCTGCACTTTCAGATTAGGTTGCTTTTTTTCTTTTCTTTTGTTACACAAACCAAACCCATAATGAATGCCTTTGATATTTTTTCTGTTGTAGAAACCAGTTGAGATTTAATCCCGTGAATATGAGCAATCATTTTCTGTAACATAATTTTTAGATTGAATTTACACTAGTATTTGAGAATTTTGCAAAAATTAAAGGAGAGTCTTAATTTTGATTTGGTAGCAGTATAAAAATGAGCTTACTTTGTTTAATAAAAGTTAAGTCTTTACACATTGTCATAAACTTTTGATTACATAGCTTCATTGAATAATACCAATGCATCAAAATTAATGTAGAAAACGAAAAAGTAGAAAAAGCGTCCGTGACACCAACGGTGTACACAAGATGTTTATTTAGCAAGCGTGAACTTTATAAGATTCGAAACGTACATCAATAAAAACCTCGGAAATGTTATGTGTATAAATCTCCCACCTCTTCTTCCTTCCTTCATGTACTTTATTTCTCATCATTACCACCTAGTAACTCTTCCTTGATTAGCTCCGAAATTTAAGAGTACAAAAATCAGTTTCAACAAAAATGGCTTTTCATCTGTTGCTATTATCAGATTTGGGTGTGCATTATTGATTGCTTCATTAGCCAAACAAAGTACGGTGTTTTGCCAACTTACCAAGAGTTGTTTGCCATGGCGAGAGTTTTCAGGGTTGGCATTGCTATAGCACTTGTTTTCAGCAACTGGGTCGATGGGTTCGTAGGTTATTATGATCATCACTTCAATGAAACAGAGTTGTCTTTATTAGAGGCTCAAGAAGCTTCCTTATCCTACGCCGGAAGCAATCTTCTGCTGGTAGGACTCACCCTTCTTCAAAATGCTGCTGCTAAAGGAGCAGGTAATCATCTAATTTCAACCTTTGTTATTTCCTGTAAACTTTCTTTTTTCTTTTTTTCTTTTTCTAAATCTTCTTTGTTTTATTTTTCTTATGACACAGTCTGAAGTATAATTTCTGGTGGCACCTCTCATTTTAATATTTGGTTGTTACATGCAATGCACTTTAGTATGATTGAAATTGTTCTGTTTTCTTTTTAATTTAAATTCTTACAAGTGTTGATTCTGAACTTTTTTCAGTACTAATATTCTTGCAGCTGTCTCTCCATGACATTAATTAGTCTAGCGCGTCTCAATTAATTATCAACCAAGTAAAATATGAACGTTTCTACATGAAGGAACTGCAATATATTTACCGAATAATTGGCATTGAACCGCAGTTTTTAACCATAAGAAGAATGCTGTGGCTTTATTTGGTTACGTATAATTCTTCCTTTCTTTGGCTTTGGCAGTTTGCTTGGATGGAACATTACCTGGATATCATTTGCATCGAGGATATGGATCAGGATCAAATAGCTGGCTTATTAATTTAGAGGTTTACTATTACTTGATCTTTTAATTGCTTTTTGTCTCATTTTAGTTTTCTGTAGTAGATTTGTTCACCGTATAAAACATGCCTTGCAAAAGGTTGATAAGTATTTATTTTGACCCTTGAAAAGCATTTCTTGTGAATTAGTTCTTGGAACACATGACATGACAAGCTGAAAATGTTTAGAAATAAAGAAGTTTCAGGATCTCTAAATAAATGTCATTGAGATTTTTTTTTTTTTAAAAAGCATTAGTACTGAACAACTTACTACTCACCATGCTACGCTGTAAAGGTTTTTAGTGATGTTCATGTGAAAATTCTGTGGCAGGGTGGTGGATGGTGTAATAATATTAGAACATGTGTTTATCGCAAGAAAACCCGGCGTGGATCATCAGATTTCATGGAAAAAGAGATACCTTTTACTGGAATATTGAGTAATAAGGCTGAAGAAAATCCAGGTTTCCTTTCAGTTGAATTATCTGAAATTCTCAAATTATGCTCTCTTTTCCTTGTCATAGGCATTAGCCGTTTTGTTCATGTTATTGCTCCTCATTTTTGTAGATTTTTTCAATTGGAATAGAGTAAAGCTTCGTTATTGTGATGGTGCCTCTTTTGCTGGGGATAGTGAAGATGAGGTAGAGTTTCATATCCTGGTGTTCCTGAAATTGATATTTTGGTTGCAAGACGGTGAAATAACAAACTTATTGCATTACAAATTTAGTATAACATGTGGAAAAGACTTCAGAACTGTGCACTTCATTGCGTGCAATTTGAGAGTGTCACCGTCCAGTCATTGTAGTAACCATGATTTTCAATTTGCAGTGGAAGATTTTAACAATTTTTAAACTCTTGGTACCCTACTGTTTAATGCTAGTTCAAGACTCTTTTGCAGCATATAGATTCTATATTATGAGGGATTGTTTGGTTGAGTAGGTGTAAAGAGGGAAAATTGAAAGTAGAAAACAGGTTAAATGAAGACGAAATACATCCACCTTCTTATGAATTTATTGTATCATCAAGACAACATGGTGATTTTTTCCAATTTCTTCATTCATACTATCCACTTATTGAACCAACCTCCTGGTGAAGCCTCTGCTTAACTTCCTTCCTTTCCTTTCTAGTTCTTCTGAAATCTTTAATTTTAACTGTGTTCTTTTAAATTTCTATGAATGTTTGGAAGAAATTTAAACGAGGTTTCTCCCTTTTTGAAGCTGCGTACTTTGTCTTAGTGAAAAACTGCTGACTTGATTGGGACAGTTTTTGTTGGAGATCTTAAATTTACTAGAAATATAAGAAATTATAGTATATAAGGGGTTTAAATCTCGTCTTACAAGTTCTTGGAAGATGGAATTAGGATTAAATCCGCTTTATATTAGTTTCTTAATTTTCACATCTCCTTAGACATATCTCTTTCTCGGATAAAAGTAAGCTTTAAAACTAAGGAGTGAGGGATTAGAAAGAGGAAATATCATTGTGGATATATTCCACCTGAATTCACTTGACAATCATATATATGATCAATTAATTTAGGGTTGTTCCACTCTATTTACTTGGATAAATTGTTTGTCAAAATAGACTGCAGAACTACAATTCAGAGGGCAGCGTATTTGGGCAGCTGCAATGGAAGATTTGATGTCAAAGGGAATGCGTTTTGCCGATCAGGTTATAGAAACTCGTGTGCATCGATATATACAATACTATTTAAGGAATATTTCCTCTCATGTTATGTGCATCTAATTTTGCTTCAGGCTCTTCTTTCGGGATGCTCCGCGGGTGGCCTGGCTACTATTATTCATTGTGATGAATTTCGTGGTCTCTTTCCAATGACCACCAGAGTGAAATGTCTAAGTGATGCTGGTTTGTTTCTTGATGCGTATGTAGCAAGCTGTACTATTTCGTGCTTTCAGTGCCATTTCCATCATCGTATGACGTTCTTAATTTAGTATCTAGTTGTTTTTCCCTTGGAATTATAGGATTGATGTATCTGGTGGCCGTACACTCAGGAACTTATACAGTGGTGTCGTAGGATTGCAGGTACGACAGCATAATCTATATCATGAAAGCACTTCCATATTTCATTATTTCAGGGTTGTCTTGAAAATTGACTTATGGTATGTGTTTCAACAACAACTACAAAACCAAAAGCTGAAGTTGAATATAAGATGAAATAGACACAAGCATCATATCTTTCACGTGTTTTTTGCTGAACCTGGGCAAAATCATATTGCTAGCAGTTAAACTTTATTTTGAAAACAATTTTCAATTGCAAAAGAATCTAGACCATGCCAAACAGTTTATATTGTTGGAAAACTTGGTTATTTACACGGGTATAAGTTTGAAGGCACGTTGCTGATAAATATTTGTTTAATCATTGCAGGGAGCGCAGAAGAATCTGCCCCAAATTTGTACTAATCACCTTGATCCCATCTCGGTAATCATTGCCTTGTCCCAAAAATTTAGGAATATCAGTTTTATTTAAAGAATATGCCGAAAAGGGATACTTCATTGTTGCATGCCCTTAGTTGAACTTTCACTGACTTATTTTCTACCCCTTTTTCAGTGCTTCTTCCCTCAAAACTTGATTGCCAATGTTAAGACCCCGCTATTCATTCTTAATGCTGCTTATGATTCATGGCAGGTAAATTGTCTCACTCTGTCAACTGGTAATAAATCATAAATTCTTGAAATAATCATCATTAAATCAGTCGCTGGCAAATTAGACTTAATAAATACATTTCCCTGCGTATCCTCAGATCCAGTCCAGTTTAGCTCCTCCATCTGCAGATCCGCATGGCTATTGGCATGAATGTAGATTAAATCATGCTAAATGTACTGGACCACAAATCCAATTTCTGCAAGGTATAAATATACTGCAGAGAAATAGCATTGATGTACAAGTGGAGAGAAGGCTTCAATAAATTATTCAACCGATTGATATTTTCATGGTCTCTTTGATACAGGATTCAGGACTCACATGCTAAATGTTGTTAAAGACTTCGCAAGATCAAACCAGAATGGCTTGTATATTAATTCATGTTTTTCTCACTGCCAAACTGAGAGGCAGGATACATGGTTTGCTGACAATTCTCCTGTTATTAGGAACAAGGTGAGTCTGACACTTTAGACTGATGCAATGTCAGTGTGACATGTTGACATGCGTTTGTTTTCCTAATGTGATTTGTAGCCATTAAAATGATTAAAGAAAATAGGAAGGAAAATATTAAATGAAGCATATTATTACTAAATAAATGCTATGACGTTAACTAAAAAACATACTGATTCACCTGTAGACACAATACAGAAAGCTATTAATATAACATTGCTGTGGTCTGTATTTGTAATTCCCCTCTGATAATACTCTTTAATCTAAATATGTTCATGTATCTAAGATATTGATCAATATGCAGGCAATTGCTCTGGCTGTTGGAGATTGGTATTTCGATCGAGCAGGTGTTAAGGCCATTGATTGTCCTTACCCTTGTGATAATACGTGCCATCATCTGATTTTCGGGTGAGCCAGGTTTCATCCATCATTTTTTCGCTTCTTCTCATAAGTGGAGGATCATGCTATTCAATTAACTTATGGAAAACAAAAAAAAAAAAAAAAAAACAGGAAGGTGAAAATTTAAATTTTATCTGTCAACTATTACCAACTGGTGAAAGTAGTCTTCATGTTGGAAATGCCGTGGTGCAGCAATAATCAAATGTCATCACTTGGTTCCCTTTTAGCTCGGAATAAAAAAGAACGTGCTCCAACAAAGCTTGGTACACTTAGATATTTGTGTTTTTAACTATCTTAGGAATTCGATTCATGATTGTGCATGTGAAAACAACTTCATTACAAAAGGTAAAACTCATTTAAGTGATTTACGCCTTAACTTTTGAAAAATGTTATGAGTTTATGTGTTGTACACCATTAGCTAAATTATCAGTGATGTAAAGTAGTTATAATTTTACAAAGCCCACCAGAGCTGATGTTTGATTCCTAGGGCCAGTCTAGGGCGCACTGCTTGTCATTGGGCTGGGTGTGGCCCAAACTTCCTTATGTTATTATGATTTTCTATTTTTTACTTTTTATTATTTTATTAATAGACTCAATGCTACTTAGCATTAATCAATTTGTATCCAACCATTTCATAAATTTGATTCAACCCACCCTATCAAATTTACCTACATCCCCTTGCTTATGATTTTATTGAGAAGGGATAAACTCGTTTTGCAGAGACCTAAATTTAAGGCACCCAACACCATCAAAGAATATTTTGTTTAAAACGTGTGTTTAAAGTCATCAATTTTTAATTAGAATCCGACATTAACACAGTCCTCAACACTGCTTCGTATTCAGTAGCATGTACACATGCCTTAAAATTCATGGGGCAAAGTATTAAACCTGTCCTTAGAATGTTACCATTATTTGCCTTCACTTTCTTGCTTAAAAACTCATAAATTATCTTTCGCCCGGACCAAATCTTCCGACAAAGTTATTTAATGATCAACACCGTCATTATTAGTTCAATCATTACCAAAATCATTTTATTCATCTTCGTCATAATCAACAAGTTGTTTATTGGTTACTTATCCTTTTTATATAGAGATTGTCTTGAAGACAATAATTAAAAATGAAAAGTGTTGTTTATGCAACATGCTACAAATATATTTTCACCCTAACTTGTGATAAGAAAACATTTTTTTAACAAAATCGTGTGCGTTCAAGAAACTTTCTGAGCTTTGTTTAACAACAATATTAATTACTATACTATGGGAGAGATCAAACATGTGATTGCTTTGCCATTATCCTACCCGAGATTTTTGTTCTGTTCCTGTACAATGATGATTGTAGGGTCGTAGCAAATAAAGCCAATAATTTGGTTCACATGGTTGGAGATTCTAAATCAGAAATGTCTACAACTTAAACAATGAACAAGTGAGGAAATAAACAATTGAAGACTACGAGTTATTGATTGTGTGTGTTCACATGGACAATATAATTAACGAGCAAGTTTCAAATAATTATATTTAAGGGACGGCTCTAGTATTTGTACCCATGACTCCAAAATTTGTCTTATGTATGAATAAGCAAAGTTCAACTATTGAAAAATATTCGTTTTTCTGCCTCACCCTTAATTACATGATGTAAGAACCTTACTTTTCTTCCTTTTCATAAAATGCTTTGTAAAATATAAATAGTTTGTCATGTAATTTGAGAAAAAAAAGGGGGGGGAACATACGTCATTGTCCACCTGATGAATGCTATTTATTTTTTTACCTTTGGTTATGTAAAATAGGAATATCACAAAACGTTGGATTTTACATACATCACTTTCTCAACTCTCTCACGCATAATTTAGCCATTGAAAACAAATACATTGTCGCGCACCAAAAACAAAACACATGCAATTTTATTGGTCCATGTAGTCAATCTATATCTATACATACATGTTAAGGTAACACGAAAAAGACAAGTTTTTTACACGTGTCATTCTCTCGACATGATACTATACCACACTTATAACCTCACTCCTATTTCAACTGTTGTAGAAAAGCAACATCTTTTCACATGCCAAAGCAAAACAAACACAAAATTATTGGCCCGTGTATAGATAGGTCTTTAATTAGGACAAAAGGAGTAACCAAAATAATTTTGTTCTCAAACAAATTTCTCTGTGTAGGGTTTGAGCAACATGGTCTTAACAAAAACCCAGGTAAAGGGTAGAAGGAAAATATGTTATGCATTGCAACGGATAAACGAGTAAGAAGGAAAAATGGGTATATGGAAGAGTTTGCGGTTAGTTAATGCATTCACTAGTAACTATGTATCCGTGACTTTGACTTGTGATTACTGATATCATTTTCATTAATAAACATATTTAGTCGTGTCGTGAGAAGTAATTTGTTGCTAATTATGAAATCAGTTTCCATGTAACAATATAATATAAAGGAAGAGTAGTTTATAAGAATAGTGCAATATTATTTTGGTCACAATATATATGTTAACTTGGAGATGATAATAATTTATTTATTCGTTGTTAATTAATAAATGACATTAACTAAGGTCTTAAATTGATTGTCATAATTATGCACATAAGTAAAAGAAAATATTAAGATTGATGGATTCTTTATTAGTCAACCATTAATGGTTCAAGTATATAGTCATAATCAATATCTATTAAAGTAGCATCGTGTGACATTAGGTATTTAACTTCAAAATATACTAAATGACTTGTTCATTAATTAAGATAATATCCTATCAAAGGAAATGGTAATTATTATTTTATGAAAAGCATATCAGGGATAATTTAACGATAATTTAGCAGTATATGTTAATTTTGATCATAGTTTGTTAGGCATGATTATATATGTAAATTAAGAAATATAATTTATTTAAGAAAGATATGAATTGCAATTTGTGTAATTTTATGATAGAAGGAACGATGCACATTGCTTACTTCATCCCCAACAGAAAGATACGTTTTGTTTAATTTCTAATGTCACTCACTTTGAAAAAGAGGGCACCCTCTTCCCCTTAAGCCTTTTCATCTTCCTACTTCAGTGTCATGCCAGTGTGGGACCCACTCATACACACTCCTATCGTCACAACTTCAAATTCCTACTTTTTTTTTCTATAATCCACTCATTTTTACTTTTAAATCTTTAATATATAATTCTATTAAAACAAATGCTAGTCTTAATAATCTTTTGTCTCTACAAGTTTTATCTCTAAATTAACCAATATGCATGAAAGTAAATCATAGTTTCCCTTAATAGAAGTAGGAAACATCACTATTACTTTGCATGTGTAAAATGTTATTATTATTATTATTAACTCAAGTATAAGTATCAAAAATGTTATATATATAATATAAGATCCATTTACTCGTACTAAAACTTTCGAGACTTATTTTATATTATTATAATTATTCTTTTTACTATAATTATTGAAATGAATAACTATTTTATACTTTAAATTAAAAAAATATTAGTAAAAATAAAAATAAAATAAGTCTCTAATCGTATTTTGAAAAAAAAATATATATATATAATAAATTTAAATATAAAAATATAATTAATTTCATTTTATGTAATAATATTATTTCTAAATCTTCAAATAATGAATATATTTTCATTGATTTTTTTTATACTTATTCCTATGATATAAAGTTAAACAATAAAGATTACTATTTTTGAATTAAATTTAAATAATATTACCTTTTTAATTAGCTTAAAATTATTATTTTTATTTATATTTGAGTTCAAAGACAATATTCTTTTGTTCTCTCACTTTGGAAGAAACAAAAAACTATTTATACAAAGTCGTGTTTCTTCAAAATTAATTAAAAGAGGTTATAATTAAAGTTGAAACAAAATTTAACAATTGAATGTTAAAATTTGAAAATAATATTTTAAGAGTAAACTTAAAAAAAATATATATTATTTATTTATGACGCAAAAGATGCTACACGGTACAAGCAAGAATTATCCAATGACAACTTTTTTATCATTTTCAAATCATATATAATGTCATAAAAAATTTATTATGATATTAAATTTATGTTAATATATTATTTTATTTAAAAAAATTATTAAATTAAAAAAAATATTTATTAAAATAAAAATCTGCCCATCTTTTATTTTTCTCAAAGATGGCAAAGCAGTGGGACCCATGCTGAGTGTGTTGAGAAACATAAGTTATCTTGCTTAATAAGAGATTAGTTAATAGGTTAATCCATCTTCGCGGGTTCACATGCAATAAAATTAGAAGGTTGATTCACTTTAAGAATGTTTTATTCTTGTTCTTATCTTGTGCAAAATTTTAATAAAATCGTTAATTGGAACTGGGTTCTAATTAACACCAGCATTATATTAGATAAGAACTATTATGCCTTGTATTATAAATAATGTTCGTTGACAAGTGGTATTATTAATATTAAAGAATGGTAGTTAGAGTTAAAAAAGATGGTGAAACCGAGAAAGTTACATGGATCATGTAAAACTGATTTATGATATGATTCATGAATCAATAAAATATCTATCCTCGTTTCCTATAACCAGGAGTTAAGTTTCATTACTTTTTGGTTGCGCCTCGACCTTTGGATAACGTTAACATAGGAAAAAACCCGTTAAACAAGTTCTCAAACTGAATTAGTCGGTGTGGAGCCATAAATTTGCTTAATGTGTGTGGTTTTGGTTTGGCCTCGCTTTTCTACTCTACAGTGACTACAATCTTTCAGTTGGGAATTAAAACCGTCAACAGTTTTCGATTGCGTACATTAGAAAGACGTAAATGAAGGGAAGACTAGACTGCTACTAGTGGTCTATGATTTTCTTATCTTCACTGGTTAAGGTGAAAGGGAATGGAGCTAAGTTTTGTCCAAAAAGTGTAAACACTCTTTTATCTGTGTGAGACAGTGATAGACACCCATTAAAGAAAAAACGGTACCACCCCACACACAAAATAACTTCACTGGATTCTCAATTGGATCAAGTGAAAAGCTGACTGTGTAGTAACAAATCACGGACGTACAAAAGATCATCATACTAGATTTCAAACTATGTTGTGTCACACGCATGCTCCATCACCTTAATGGTAACTATTACACAAAATAACACCAAAACAACAAAAACTTAATTCAAAAAAATAAGGCTCACTGTATGATCAATTGTATTTAGATCAATAAGAATACTGTATAAGAAATGAAGATCTATATGGAACAAGCCTTATTCTGTGTTTAATGAACAAAGTGATGAGAAGAAGAAGAAGAAGCTTTAATCAATCACAAATATTAATTATACTGTAACATAATGCTGATTTCTGAGGTTGTCTTTCTTTTTTTTTGGTATAAATCAGACACATTTACAATATCAGAAGAAAATTGTAAAAAGAAAAATTTACAGCACACACCTGCGGTCAGAACTCGCGACAAATTTCTGACCTACTTCACATTGGAAATGTCGGCATCTTGCTCCTCTCCTTGGCTGAGGTTTCCACGTGTTAAGTACAGCCAGTGCCTGCAGGCTACAGGGTTTGTCCAAAAGCAACTGAAAATCTCTGAAGATCTTTGCTATATATATCCGAGGGTTGAAAATGCTGGCTGTGGTGCCAAGTGGTACTTGATTCGTCTGCTATGAAGGCTGTTTCTGGCTTCACCTCATCACTGTAGAGAGGGTGAGTGGTTTGATGCTGCTGCACTGTGGTTCCCAGGAAAAAAGGGGTGTTGTTCAGATACTCAGACCACTTAATGTCTTCTTGATCTGATTGCAAGGGTACCACATGAGAAGAATGAGCATCTTTATTTTCTGCCTTGGTGGCAGATTCTGCTTGCAGACCCCATGTTATTGTGCTGCTATGATCAAGGAAGTTAGTGCTGCTTTGTAATTGGATACTACAGCTACTGCTCCCATTGCTTTTGCTTGCATTGTTGTTGTTACTGAAGGTACTTCCTTCCCAGTTCTGAACCGCATCAGAGGATAAGTTATTAGACTGGAGGCTAGCAGTGGGCTTTACATGTGTTGAGAACACAGAATGGAGCATGGTGGAATTCAGCTCTGACATCATTTGGGAAGAAGTGGAACCTGGAATGAAACAAAGTGGGATACTGTTGGGGTTGGCAGTAGTGAGTCCCATGTTTGGTCCATAGTTTAGGTGCTGGAAAGGGAAATACCCCATTCCCATCATATCAGAACTAGTGATGGAACTGTTGTTGTCATGGCAGGTGCCAAACCTTTCTAGGGTGCTGCTGTTGTTGTTGCCACTGCTGATCTTTGAGGTAGCAGAAACTTCAAGGGGATATCTATCCATAGGCATAGAAGTAGTAGTAGTTATTGGCTTTTGTTTGGGTGGCTCAACAACACTCACCTCATTGGAGGCTTTCTGGTTGCTTCTTTCAGTTGCGAGAGGCTTGTCCTTGTCATTCTCAACCTCCGATAGGGGCTGGTGTGTGTTTGGGTCAATGCCTCTTTGCCTAAGCTTCTTCTTCAGACAGGAATTCCATAGATTCTTTATCTCATTGTCAGTTCTTCCAGGTAACTGAGCAGCAATCTGCGACCACCTGATATAATCATCAAAGTTCAAAACACATACATAAACCATGAAACAAAAATGTTTTACCGACAACCTCTAGAAATTGGTCCGCCATAATTCTCGTAGTGACAACAATCTACAAGACCAAAAGCCAAAACTAGCAACAACTTTGAAAACATAACAGTACCTGTTGCCAAGGACTGCATGAAGTTCAATTATGGAGTTCTCTTCTTGCTGTGAGAATGCCCCTCTCTTCAAATCTGGCCTAAGGTAATTTATCCACCTTAATCTGCAGCTCTTGCCACACCTCTGAAGACCTGACATATACACATCACATACAAACACACAAAGTTTGAGAGAAGGAAAGTTAATTTATTAAATGACTTTTTGTGATGTGCACATGCTGCAATATCTTTTGATAAAGTGATGAAAGATTATGTGTTGCACAGTAGTGGTACCAGCCAGTTTTGGAACTGAGCTCCAACATCCATGGCCATGTTTGGTGATGTAATTCAAAAGCTTCTCGTCTTCCTCTGGAGACCAGAGGCCTTTACGAAGCTTCTGCTTGTAGCAGCAAGAGTGTCTCCCCATGTGCACTATGCCTGCCTTAAGCGATTTGAAATGTTTGTTAAAAGCGGCAAAGTCTTGTGTCAGAACCTACGTGGATGGTTAAGGACACAGAAGCTTTGATGTGAATTAATGGGAAGCGTTGGAGCTTAAGAATTTTGCAACTTGCATAGAGATTCGAATATACAGAAGGAGCCTTATAATAAGAAGGATGATTGGACACTGTCGTTTTGAATTTATATATCTGACCTTCCAGAACTAGCTTCATCTCCTTTCTTCACGGGACATTCCACATAATTGTTTCGGTCCCACACTCTCATCCAACGCTCCTCATGCAATTCCTCTCTTCCATCCAATGGATGAGATGCCACCAAAGAGGATCATATGGTTTGACTTATTTATGCCAATGTCCCACCACCATGGCCATTGCCCTCGCTTTTTCTTTTGAGATTTTTGTTACCAGAAAATAGTCTTTGCACTTTTACACTCAAGAGTTTTACTCTCTCATTCAACTACTACTTACAACCAGTCATACAAGGTGAGTTTGAGGTTTCTGATTCATTAATATGATAACTCTTATTATTTTGAAAGTTAACATTTTTTGTTTGAATATAAATATAGAGAAAGATGGAGACAGAATAGGTTAAAGTGTGTGTTAGTTTATTAATAAAAAAAAGTGATGTAAGAGGTACGTAAAGAAAATAATATGTTAATAAGACGAGAAGGAAAGAAAAGAGTTGTGAATTTTGTGTATACAGGAAAAAGTTAGGTTCCTTGTAAGACGGAAGGAAGTCCTAAAGATAGGTATATGCCAAATTTTGGTGGGTAATTGCTACAATGGTAGCTAGGACGGTTTTCACTTTTAACCGACCTTGGTGGTTATGTAATATGTACCATGCTGCTTTAGAGCATATAGTTGTTATCTCGTGAGTTTGAAAGTTGTGGAGTGTGACGAAATTTCTCCATTCCCATATGACTTAGATGAGATGAGAGAGAAGAAAGCAAGAAACTTGAAGGGAATTTGAAGGAGTGGCATGGCCTAGGCTAAGCCTAGTCCAGGATTAGAAATATGAAGTACAAATAAACCACTAGAAATAAGAAGGGCAAAATTCTCGTGGAAAAGTAAAGGCTTAGAGGGGTAAGGTAAGCAAACAAAGCATACTGCATTAAATTGACGATAACAGAACCTTCTCTAGGTTCTTTTGTTCCTATTGCTGATAATACTTCAAGTTTTGAAAACTCTATAGCCCTTTCCTTTTCTTGTCCAACTTTTCCGCCAGATACTCTTTGGTACAAAACTGACTTCTCTTCTTTTTAGCTTTTAGGGATCATTTTTGAAAAATCATTATCCTTTGGAAAAGTTTCATAATTTGGGTACAAATACAAATTTACTTTTGACAAATGAGCTAGTTAAGGTCACATTTCTTCCCAAAGAAATTGTTGGACTTCAACCAACTATCCAAATGATTCATCATTTTTGCATTTTGAAAATTACGTTTCTTTTTCATTAAATGTGAATTTCTTCAATTTTAATGTTGGAGCTTTACGAAAAATTCTGCGTCAGTGCGGAAAGATACTAAAACCGTCGTTGTTTTATGTAGAGTACTATAACCATACATAATAATAGAGACAAACAACTCTATACAAGTACGACAATCGCAATAATATAACTGTCCCTTTACTTCGCTTATTCAAGCCTGCATCTTTTTCATCCAGACATTAAAGCTTAATAATTTATGTTTATGAAGCACAGATATTTTAAGAAGGGGGTTGTATTTTGTATTGGACGATACTTCTCATACATTACGTGTAAACACATCAAATTTGCTGTGTTACTATGTCTGCATCTGTGTCACGTAGCTACTCTGTATACCGGTAAGTGGTAACCATATATTGTCAAATTCAGATGAACACAAATTATTCTTTGCATGCTTACTTAACTCAAAATTATTCTCCCATCTTGTTGTATTGGATTAGCATAATAAAAATTAAGGAAACATACCGAAGAAAAAATCGCAAGGACAATGTGACTTTAAAAATATTACAGAATGGGAGACAAAAGAAACTAAACATGAAGCATCTATATGGTAGCTATTGCATAAATGATTGTGGGACAAAGATAAAATAAAATTGACCAAAAAGCTAGAAAGTTTAAGTAATACATAATTGATTTCTGTTGAGTAAAGTCTCATAATTTCAGCCTTGTGTACAGAAAAAATATTCAGAAAAAAGTTACCTGTGGTTTAGTTAAAAAACAACTGTGTTTGGCTGATGGTAGCTTTCCCCCTCTCTAGGGACAAATCACAAAAGTGGAGCAGAGAGATCACAGGTCCAAAAAGCCCATGAGCATTCTGACTTTTGCTACAAAAAGTCAATTTTAAATGGCATTGTAATTCGTGTCATCGATGGAGATTGGAGGATTCCTCACTATGTCATTGAGTTCTTGCATGTTGATAATCTAAACTATGCCTTTCACTCTACAGAGTTTGTCTGCTAGAGAATCCAAAAGTTAATAGAAAAATGATAATACCACACACCCGTTAGTTATGTCAGGGACTAGTTACCGTGTTATAACAGAATGATATGTAATGAATAAAGTTGAACATAGTTGATAGATAGTTAATTTTTTTAAATATGTTATCAAGAGTTTGATTTATTGACATTAATAAAATGATAAAATTTATTTTAATAATGTCTATTATCGGTTAAAAGATATAGTATAGTTGTTGATAATAATAAAAATAATAATAATAATAAAGGGACATGATCATCAAGTAGTAAATTAATCAATTCATAGACATTCGCTTCAATATTTCAAAACAGGAAAAAAACTTGACAACAATAAGGTCGCAGCATGTGTCTAAAGTAATGTAAATTGAAGATAGATTGAAAGGGAGACCTGCTTTTTTTATATAGAAAAAATAAAACTAATTACATTACATATCTTGGAATAGAAGTAATTATAGGACAATGTACACATAATAAATTAAACTTTTCCTTTGTCCTTCTGAGATGGCACAATTTGTACAATATTCTCTGCAAGTTATTCGTGGCGCAGAAGAATCCAAAACAGTGTGTTGTCTTCAAGTGCTTCATTTTTTCACTAACACGTTCTAAACCCATAAGGGTATCTTCCTTCACCTCTCAATGATACAAGTTTATATATTAGTAATATAAATTTTGATATCTTTCTGCGATTGCGTGTCTATTTGTTCTGACATTGTGAGCTTCCGAGGCCTAAGCCATGTCCTAATTCAGCCATCCTATTGGACATTTGAATTATAAATAAGTCATCAATGGAAAGATGCTTGATTTCTCCATAGTCCACGACCATACCTCATCATGCACCTCTACCCTTATCTTATATTTCCCATATGAGCTGTTTCAAGAAGTCAAACTCATGCCATTGTAAAATGTTTATACACTCCATTACACTAGCTGTCTATATACGTCTATAATATGTGTCGGCTTCGTTGTCCTTTGGATATTCACAGCATAATAATCAATTGGGTCATTTGATTAGTGAGAAAAATGAAGTTGGTCAGCTTCATAATTGAGCCAATGTTTTCTAGTCGTCTTCTTCTTCCACCCCCTTTTTATTTGTTTTTCTTTTCTTGCGCGAAATCAAAATTGATGTCTATGTTTATGGGACAAATGAAGCAGTCTTGTTTTAACAATAAATAATGATAACTTGTTTTGTTATGATAAACGTTTAGTCTATAGGGGCAAATATTCGGTTCCAGGATAGAGGCTAGGGTGGCACCTTAAGTCTTGTTAGAATACAATTGTTCAAGAAACACGCTTGTATGGAAGAACTGTTAGATGGAATCTCAATATGTTTTACTTTTCTCATTTTGTTTGTTAAAAACTAACTGGCCATTACTAGTCACACAAGGTAAGAGCCAATATGTATGTCAAATTCTGTTGAACCATGCATTTTGATAATCAGAGGCAGACAGTAGTTGAGACAAATCTAATCCAAAATCACTTTGACGCTTTGCTGTGTATTTGTCTCACAAGTTGCTTAGCTGGGATTGCTTTGAAATGGTTGAATATATATGGGAATTTCAGTAATTGCAGCAACTGGTCCCCTGCTTATTCTGCAGCAAAGCCGACTGCATAAGAAAGGAATTGTGTGGCATTATCGTCTATTTGAGAATATGTGATGTTAATCTTGGTAGGCCATACCTAAAGTTAAGCTTATTATTTAGGTCCAGTGCATAGTGCCATAAATGAGAGATAAAGAACTATAAGATGTAAGTATAACACTTTTTTTAAAGATAAGAAATTTTTTATTCAAGTCTCCTGTAATTTGTCCACGAAATGATTGATTACCAATGTTGAAATAAGGTGAAAAACAAAAATCTTGTCCTTACTATGAGCCCTCCCTTACATATTAACAAGGTCCTAGCAATTACTCATAAATACCCTCCCTCCATAGGGTAAGATACTTAATGAGTACTTTCCAGATTTAAAATTTGAAGGCGTAATTTTCAAGCACTAACTAAAATACAAGCAGTAGAGAACAATTGGTAGCAACAATCAAACTTCAACTGGTATTCCATTGCTTCAGTGACACAATATGATTGTAACAGGTTCAGTGTAAATTGCCTCTGTGGCCTTCAGATTCTTTATTGACTACATAAAGCAGAAGTATAATTTGGTTTTAGAAATTAGTTTTTTATTAAAATTTTCTAGAACGATGCAAAGCTGCCTTATCATGTGGGGTGTTTTAAGAACAATTAGTACTACAAACGATTTTAATCATTGAAAACGATGCCATCAAAGTAAAGCAAAATGTGTGATTTGAAATGCTTAAACGCCTACAAGTTATGATATTGATGGGAAGTTTGAGAAGCAAATTTGATAAAGAGATCTTTTTAGATGATCATAATGGGCATTTGAAATAGAAGGAGACATAATCCACTTGCCCTTGAAAAATGAAGATGCCTCTGCATTATCCTAAAAACCAGCATTTCCACATCTCATCCTGCCACAGACAACTAATTGACAAGAAAGAGCAGTTGTTAGAATTCATAATTTCTTGATACTTACCCATTTTTGCTTGGTATAATTGAATTAGCTTGCTAATGGGGGATATTTGATTAAAATGATCAACACCAAACTGTAGAAATAGTTGTAACCACTCTCAAGTTAAGCTTACCTTGCAAAATTTGGTCTCTGTCAAAGTTGCCACCAGAACTATTATTATTAAGCATAGGCCTCAAGTGAAGTGTCTTTCTTGAGTTAGGCCCCAGTAATAAACAA